ATTGTAAATTAAATAACACTACACATTGCGCCGTATTCTGCAGACTACGGCGGTAATCGAAATCGCCGACAAATATTCCTATTGTTGACTGCCATCCATTATTGTTTAAAAACATTTCCCGATTCGAGAATATTAGTAAATAATTAATTAATAGTTTATTCAGAATGTAGCGACGATACTCACTGACAATACTCACCAGAAATTTATATAGTTAACGATTTCACGCTCTACTGGCGTCGGGTCCAGTTACTGACGCACATCAAAGATAACTGGCGGTTTCACTCTGATAGTGACCCAGAGCTCAAATAGTGACGGTTTCTTAATTAGTCACGCTTTTGTCAATTTCTCCCGCGCCCGCGTGACTAGTGATATGGTCGGCTTAACTCACGTTTGTTTAATTACTCACGTTATTTTTACATACTGACACAAGTAAGGAATACTAACCAATTGACTTAAATATTCACCTTATGATTATTACTGACCATTTTGTAGGAATACTGACCTACGGTACAAATACTGACTGGTTTAAGCGATTACTGACAACACGTATATTTCTCACGAATTTCCATGAATAGTAACCACAATGAACCCTTTCTACTTCATAGATAGATATTCTAACACATAGGCCAGTTAATCAATACTTAGAGATAGTTTCTTACAAACTATGCACCCAGCAGTGTACCCAGCAAACACAAAACGTTTTGGTAACATTCGTAATTGGTTCTAATATGGTTGCGTTCAGAACGTTTTTTTATGGCGGGATTTAAGGGCCAAAACTAAATGTATGTTGAAAGTGTTATTATACATCATAGAAAATACCTAATACCTAAGATGCAAAATACATATGTCGTTATACTTATAATGATGAATATATAATACCGTTAAAGTAAAAGTTAAATGTCAAATTACAAATGTTTTTTGGAAAAAATCAACTAATGTTACAAACAACACAACATATTCACATATACACTTCAACAAAGCAACTTTGCAAAATGACATTTGTCTTTTGTCATATAACTTATCTTGGGTTCTTGAGGTCAACGGTCATCGGGTCACATGTAAAATTGTTAAAATGAATGCTCCCATGAAGGAAAAATACGATTGTCGTCGTCGTCTGCTTAGTGACCTTCTGAATAGATATTTGTAAGTTTTATTTACCTAATTAAATTTAGCCTAAATCCACCTGAAGGTGATGTTTGAAAGTATAACTCTATTGAAATGCATATTTTAGGATTTGTCTGATGGGAGAAAATGTTTAAAAAGGAGAAATAGCAAACAATCGTCAAATTTAAGCCTAACCCTGTTCATTGATAACCACTTTTCCTGCAAAAAGGGGGTCTTATTTGTTTTCCGAATGATTGTGAATTTAATAAGGAGTAACCAAACTGTTATTCTACCAAGTTTCTTGTTAATTCATTGAAAAATAAATTTTTTACATTGCACTGAAGTCAAATAATTACCACTTTTTGGACCAGATTTGGATTTCAGACCGAAAAAACAAAATTAATAAAAATTGAATATTAAAAAAAGTATAGTCCGATTTTGAAATTCTAATGTCTCGGCGAACTTTCTGTCATGTTTCAAAACAATTGCTCCAAAAATTGGTTGGTGCATGCTAAATCAACCTAAATTTCTTTCTAGATTCTAATTCTAGTCGCAGTACCTTTACTTTTACCTTTTTTTTAGATGAAACTCTCAATGTGATCTTAACATTATATACAACAGACACATATTTTTATTTCAGGTAAAACTGTGTCATGTCAGATCAGGAATTGAATATGAAAGCAGCAGAGCTGCTTCGTCGCACTGCAGAGGAAGTAGTTAGTAAGCTGAGCAGCTCTGCCAGCAGAACATCGCCAAGTACCGATGGCAGTACCACTATTACAAATCTGAGCACGCCTAGTAATACTAGTATTAGTAATCAAGTTACTGAAGTCAGGAGGCTCTTTGCACCCTACAGAAAGGGGCCTCGTACAAATCAGAGACCCTCCCGTCATCAAAAATGGTCGCACAAATACATATGTTTGGCAGATCCAAACCAGGTAATGATCAATGAACATGTATTATTAGAATCCAATGAAGAGTAGGTACTCATCTGTTGAAAATTATTATGCAAATTTTGATCAAGAGACAAGACCTACCAAGTTTCTGTCATAGAAATCAAGGAGCGCATTTAGGTTTGCTGTTTTGTGCAGAAAATTGTGTATGTTAATGTAGTCTATATAGGCAAGCCTGGAAATAAGGCACCTGTCACAGACAATGCCAGGCACAGATTCAGGCTTTGTCAGACACAAAACCTCTGGTGCCTGTCATTTTGTCCGGCACTGATTTGTCTTTTTTTATTTACATTATTAATACATGTCAGGCACTAAGTTGAAAATGACAGTACTATTTCATTAGTCCCTGACATTTTGTCAGGTACATCTAAAACCGTTATTTCCAGGCCTGAATATAGGCCTACGTAATGTTGTTCTTAATCTAATGGCACGATTTACCCAAATCGACCAAAATCTACTCAAATTCACCTTTACTTTAATAAACTTGTGTATCGTAATAATTATTTAAGCCTATGTCCTATGTCTATAATTTATGCCAAATTGGCATTTTTAAATTCAAAATCGTTACATTTTTTGGTTTCAATAATGTCCTTCAAAATCTCATTTCCAAGTAAGCGATTAAAGTGCAACAACAAGTTGTTACAGCATCCAAACTTGCTTGAAAATAGCATTTTGAGGGGCATTTTGACACAAAAATGTTACTATTGTAAATTAAAAATGATAATTTGGCATATAGAACTGTATATTATCAAATATCAAAATAAATTATTGTCTTATAAGTTGAAGTAATGGTGGATTTGGATAAATCATGCTACCCATTATAATGTTCAAAAGTTTGATTTCAATTGCATACTTTGAGATATATATTTTTGATAGAAATATTTATTTTTTAGGATTACATCCCAAGTAAGCAAACAAAAACAAAGCTTTTAATGGCTGGTCTAGGGGAGAAAAGATTAGTTGTAGAGAAAAATTCAGATCCACTTTACTTAAAAACTGTTCTCGTGGATTCTTATCCAAAATTAAAAGAAGGTGGTGGGTATGATCTCCTCAGATCATGTAATCGCTTCTGCTTGGAGGTCATACCCCTGCCCCGGAGTGGCTATATTTTAGCAAGCCTCCTTATAGATAGTTATCATAAATATCAGATATTTTAGCAAGCCTCCTAGCTTTTAATTTATCTGAATAGTTTATTTATAAATCTCATGCTTATTGTACTGTGTTAGAAGTGTTCAACTTTACAAATTAATAAACAATGATTAAGATATTTGTTTTAGCCAACAGAAGATTGTCTGATGGAAAAATGTCTGGTTTGTAAAATTGAGATGCCTATTACAATGATAAAGAATCATTTAGAAAAAGAACATGAGGTAAGTTTCTTATAGTATGTGTTCTGTGTTTTATTCCATAAAATTCCTTATAATCATCAATTTTTATATGCCCATGTCCCACCAACCAACAAAAATATGTGGCTGGGGCCTATGATTATTTTTCCTGTAATGTTACATTATGGGGATTACTTCTTGTTCATGATTGCCCGTTATTTACTTTCCTTTGTTTCAGAATGAAGCAAATGAATTACCCATACTAAAGAAAAGAAAAGTGGAAAGAACTATGTGCCAGTACACTATTTCTAGCAAGGTTAGTGCCATGTATACCATTACAAACAGTTATTATAATAATACCAAGGTTTTAAATTTTATAACAGTTTATATTGAAAACTGTGGATTTAGAATATTTTCCTGATTCCCAATTTATTTGACTTTCTACGCCGTTTGAGAAGACAGTTTCAAGTCTATTTACAAGATCACACGAAATGTGCGGTTGAAAATAATCATTAATTGCTGATAAGCTTGGATCGATTTTGGGATTATGCATATAAATATATATATATATACTCAGTGTTGAGTACCACTGTTTCGAACCCGGGATGTACTCGTTGGCGGCCAAATGACCAGACTGAGCCATTGCGGGATCGCATATCATGATATCATGTTTTATAAAATATTTAAAGAAACTATTTGTTCATCTTATTCTTTAGGATACAGAATCTGAAGATCTGAAAAAAGATATCAGAAAGTAACTTGGTTTTTTGAATTTATATGCCATTATTAATGCATGCCCTAGTAAGAAAATCAGTTTATTAGTTCTTTTTAAGATATTATGTGGTTTTGAAAAGTATTGAAAGTTAAAGATACATGGCCCTTGATCACTTTGAAAAATCTTGTAGTTAATATCCAATTGACTTTAAATTTATACGCAGTGTTTGAGGTCATGAGACTTTGATGTTGAACCAGTAGAGGTGGAGTGCCCAATCTGCATGAAAAAGTTTGATTCCAGTTATATTGCTGTTCACTCATCAATCTGTGGAGAAAATGATAAACCAGCAGATTGTTGTTCAAGGTACCATGAATTTTCAATAAAATTATTCAATTTAATTTTAATAATTTGAATTTAAATTAATGATACATTGTCCCAAAAGTTCCAGCTTATTGTGTGCTTGCTTGACTGAGGGAGCAGTTGTAATTTTTTGATGAAATGGTTAGTTGGTTTGGGGATCATTAAAGGGTGTCAACGTACAAAAATAAACGTCGGAAAGGGAAGTTGACAGAAAATAGTTAAGAATTTACTTAGGCCTCAATATGTATGATAAATGGAGAGTGAATAAGTAATGGCGTCTAACAACAGTTTATTTATAGCAAAAACAAAGTATTGAGAGGGATTTGAAGCATATTTTTGATAGATTAATTAGTTAGAATTATTCTTTTAGTACAAATAAATCATCAAATCACCCAATTTGTATGTGGGAAAGTATCTTGAAGTAACTTGGTATGAAACTGCCACAATTACTTGAAACAAATGCCCATTTGTGAGAGTCGAAGCTACCAATAAGGATGTATTATTATGCCTCTTGACTCTATTTTTGCAGTATTGAAAAATCATTTGATGATGAACTGTTCAATTACCAAAAGGATAACTTATATGAACCATGTATAATTTCTGTAGTGAGAAGCAAATTTACAGAAACTTCAGAAGACCAATTGATGGAAGCTGATGAATGTGATTGGGAAAGACCAATTAAAGTCAAGTTCATTGGGGAAGAGGGGGTAGATCATGGAGGTTTAACTAAGGAATTTTTCACACTTTTATTCAAATCATCTAATGCATTTGATGGAAACAGTTTTTCATTAAATCCCAATTTACTTGAGAAAGGATATTATAAACTTATGGGGAAAGCTGTTGCAATTGCTGTCATCCATGGTCATCCTGGGCCACAGGATGTGTCACTGAGTTTATCGTAACAGGACACATTCCTCAATTTAAGGATGCCATTACAACTGATGTTTTGGGGGCTGATGCCCTGGCAGTCATCAATGAAGTAAGTAATTAGATAGTTGTGTTCTCAGTTCTGCATCTTCTCGAGATTCTTTTTGTACTATATACCTAGACTACCGCTCTAGACAATATGCTCCCCTGTCATACTTTGTGGTTTACAGCCCTATTCCACCTCATCATCATTGAATAAATAAAAAACGTGTATTTGCCCTAATAAAAACCTCTAAGAGGTTGAGATAATAAATAACATTTCATTTAACAATCTCAGGACAATTTGTTAATGACAATGTGTAGGGTCACCTATCCAACCTTGTGGGTTTTCTCTGGCTTCTCCCACAGCTAAAGATCCCTATGTGCAAGCAATTTACTGAAATAAAATTGAACCAAATGTTGGTCCCGAAATGACCCAGTTTATGTCAAGTGGACGTTAAACCCCATTTCTCCCCAAATACTGTAAATTAGAGAATGTATGGATATGCTCCCTTTTTGCAGATCAATAATGCTGATGCGTGTAATATCAGGGAAGTTAATGAAACACACATGGATATGATTACTGCAACAGGTTTTTTTAAAACTACTTACCACTGAAAACAGAGAAGAAGCTATTACAGCAATCAAAGGCTATTTCACTTTATATAAAATAATGGCACCCATACTACAGTTCATGGAAGGTATGTTAATTATGTTTACAGTTTTGCAAATCCACAAAAACAAAGATGGATATAACCATATTGTGTCTGCCGATCCAAACTCACTTTACCTCAAATGATTTTGCTTGTCAAATCTTTCTCAAATTGGTGACATTGTGAGGGTCATAACGTGTCAAGTCAAAACATTCTCCTCCTGTTCTGTAAATAAACATAATTTTATCAAAGGTAGATTGTTTCACTTGTTCAATGCTGTGAAAATATTTGTAGAATATTTCAATGAACACCATTAATCTTGCACTTGTATCTCTGTAATAAATTTATTCCTTGTGAATTATTGTATGGTTTAATACTTCCCTTTTTTCATGATTTTAGGTCTGGAGTTTCAGAATGTACTTAACCTCTTAAGGAAATATAAAGCCGAAGGGAGATTGGTTTTAGGCACGAGTGAACTTTGTAGTGTTGCTGCCATAGAGAAATTTTATTTAACATCATTTTCCATCAACACCGATGAAAAAGCTCTTGAAGAAGTTGTTATGTATAATTTCCAGAAGTTTTTGAAAAGAGTTGAGCGTATGTATATTATTGTTAGAATCTCTGTCCCTTCCATGTTTATTGCAGGTGAGAAAATCACTACACCATGGATAAATTCAGATGAAAATACAGAAAGTATAGTCAAATTAAATACAGGCCATGTTCTTCAATCCTTAATTGGCAGTTCTTCCCTTCCACGGACATTGATGAGTGAAATTATTACATTTGATCACAGTTCAAACAATTTATCATGTGTAAATACATGTGCCCCCTCCATTACCTTTTCTGATATTAAAGCCATTCAAGAATATCCAAAATTTGAAGAACATTTATTAAATATAATTGTTTGTTCTTATGGCTTTGGGAATGTTTGAATTTGATATGCTACTTTAAGAAACTAATGCTGAAATCGAATTTTCAAAAATAAAAGAAATTATATATATCAAATACATCCTTGGCAAGTCGATCAACTGCTAGTTAACTGAGTGTACTCTGGAAGTGTATAGATTTTTCAGATAATTCCTGTGTTGCTAATACTCCATATCTAATGAACATAAGCGCACATATAATTTCACACATTGGTTTTAAAGTTTTTAATATTCAACTCTAGCTTTTTATACTTTTGTATGAGCCACCGTCTAGATTAAAGCTATATTATTGAATTTTGTTCTAGTTTTTTAAATTCCCCTTTTTTAAATAAATGGATGCTACCTCTGACTTATCACCAATTGACAATCACATATTTTAATATGACTACTCGAACCATTAATAAAGTGTTGTTTTAATTGTTGTTATAATAAATCGATAATTGTGTTTGTTTTAATAAATTGATAATTGTGTTTGTTTTAATAAATTGATAATTGTGTTTGTTTTAATATTCATCTGTTTTCTTTGAAATAATGAAGTGTTATATACTTACCAGTGGTATTTTTTCATCATGAAAATCAGTTAAAACAACGATAAGTGAGTATACTGATGAGTTTTATACTCATAACAGAGTAGTGATTAATTCATATGTATCTGTATACTGACCCGTGTTATCTACGACTACAATTGATACAATATTCGAGGCTTTGAGCAAGTTAAATTAGGTTCTGTTCTTAAGGACTGTATAGACGAAGTTATTCCAGTTTTTACCAATATTATTAATTCTTGTATATCATCCTCTACTATTCCCAACGTTTTCAAACAAGCTTATGTTACCCCTTTAATTAAAAACTAGATTCTAATGTTTTAAAAATATTGGAGAAATGTATTGCTTCTCGGATAAAGGCCCATCTACATGATAACTGTTTGTATGAACCATTTCGAAGTGCTTATAAATAATTTCACAGTACCGAAACAGCTTTAACCCGGGTTTCAAATGAAATTTTAATGGAAATTGATAATAGAAAATGTACTTTTCTAATTTTATTAGATTTATCTGCTGCTTTCGACACGATGGGCCCTTCCATTCTTCTACGTAGACTTCAATTTAAATTCGGCATTTGTGGTTCTGCATTAAAATAGTCTTTTTTGTTTGGTCCGAGTGGTCTATCAGTTGGTCCGACTGATCTTGATCCGAGTAATCTTTGGTCCGAGTTGTCCGAATTCTCGTTCTCGTTCAAAAATAAGGCGGTATTTTTGTCCCAGTTAGTGAGTTACTGTCGAAGTGGATGAAATTTGACCAATATCTAATGCGAAGCCATTCCGAAAAGAAATTAGACGGTGAGTGCAACTTAAATCATAAGTCATTGCCAATAAAGCTGCGTGTTAGTTTTTTTTTTACGTGGGCTTTTGTAGGCGCTTGACAATCACAATGACAGCCTTGTGTAACAACAAACACTTCGTGACTTTTTAGAAGTCAGTAGGCCTAGCCCTAGCCAAAAAATAATAAATAGCCTAGACTAGATGATGAGTATTAGGCCCTATAGAGTACTACTAGTCTAGATCTAATACGAATAGTAATAGTTTGAAATCTATATACAAGTATTATAAACCCATTTATAAACTACCCTTTTTGTAGGTCTAATTTCTAGATAGGCCTAGATATCAGAATATTGAAAAGTCAATTTTGTTTTAAAATTCAACAGAATTCTTCGAAGTTTTTACGAAAAAGAAAAAATTGGTTTTGATTACTGATACCAATTTCAATTTGTAGACTAGGCCTAGATCTATATGACGCAGGTCTCGTGTCAGTACCTTATTCAAATCGGTTCTCAATATTAAAATTGTTAATTAAATGCTATGATTTACTTTGCAAGATGGACGAAGACCCCGGGCCAGGACAGGAATGCAAAAAAAAAAGTCATTTTTGCTTCATTCTGAATGACAAATAGTAGTCATGAAACAAATGGGACAGGCTAAAATTGTAAGTGCAGCTCTGTCTGTGACCACATTGCGGACTTGACTGGTCAAGACTAAAATCGTAGAATATTGTGTAGGTAGGTCTATAGTACTCTGGGGTGATGTGAAAGTTGGAGGTCCGTATTAGAAATGCCCACATTAATAATGCTTAAGTTTCACCAGTATAAAGGGTGTTGAGCAGTCTAAAGTGCACATTTTAAAACTAGCGCTGTAATTTTTGTTGATAAGATATGACATTTTTATACGCCCACATTTTCATGTGGACGTATATTGTCGTCGCCCCTGTTTGTCCGTCCGGATGTCAGTCCACTACAGGTCACAATTTGTATCCGATTTCAACAAAACTTGAAATATAGCTTTATGTCCCTAAGATCTCGGTTCTTTTCGATATTGGCAAGTATCGGACCATAACCTCATGGATTATGGCCTCTGATTGTACGAAAAATCACGTTTTTAGCTTGTTGACACTCTAGAGTAGAGGTCACAATTTTTATCCGATTTTGATGAAACTTGAAATGCATGTTTATAACCCAACGATCTTGGTTCTTTTCGATATTTGCTCATATCGAATTGTAACTTCCTGAATTATGGCCCCTGATTGTACGAAAAATCACTTTTTTTAGCTTGTCGCTCTGGAGGTTACAATTATTATCTGATTTAAAAAAAAGTTTGATTATATCACCGTTACACCGAAATGAAGGTTGAGTTTGAATTACGTAAAAAAATCCGACCAAAACTGACCTACAAAATGGCCGTCCCTCGTACGCAAATAGTGTAAATATCTGGTACTAGAAGAATGCCTGGCTTCGCTCGGGGGTCATAACCCCGAAACCGGAAGTGGTAGACTAACACCACCTGGCCTATGTTACTACCATGTCCGAGCTACCCCTATACCCCAAATTTCAGACCCGGGGCATACCTAGTGTAGCCCCCAACCCCGAACAGACAGACAAACAGACAGACAGACAAACGACAGTCACAAATATAAGTGTAGATAACAAGGTTGTGGACCCTCTGGAGGTCACAATTTTGTGCCGATTTTGATGAAACTTGAAATGCATGTTTATAACCAAAATCGTGGTTGGTTTTGATATTTGCGCATATTGGATCGAAACTTCATGAATTATGGCCCCTGATTGTACGAAAAATCACATTTTTAGCTTGTGGACACTCTAGAGGTTACAATTTTGATCCGATTTTGATCAAACGTGAAATGCATGTTTATAACCCAAAGATCTTGGTTCCTTTCGATATTCGAGCATATCGGATCTTAACTTCCTGGATTATGGTCCCTGAATGGTCGAAAAATCACATTTTTAGCTTGTGGATTCTCTAGCGGTCACAATTTTTTTTCGATTTTAAAAACCGTTTAGATCACTATTCCACCGTAATGAAGGTTGAATTGGAATTTTGGGAAAATCGAAATGAAACTGCCGACAAAATGGCCGCTCTTTGTATGCAAATTGTATATAAGTATGTAATTCAAAGGTTATGGACCCTCTAGAAGGTCACAATTTTTATCCAATTTTGATGGAACTTAAAACATATCTTTATATTGATTCCAAAAATCTCAGTCCCTTTTGATATTTGCGCATTTCAGACCATAACTCTCTGGATTATGACCCCTGATTGTACAAAAGCTTGTTTTTGTTTTTTGCTTGTTCTCTATCCATCTCTTGCAAAATGTTGGCGTATCCTGCCTGGCAGCCGCTGGTTTGTTATTTGGGGTGATCCGATTTCCTCCCACACTGCTAAAGAGCCCTACGCGTAAGCAAATTATTGAAATATTAGTCCCGAAATGACCTAGTTTGTGTCAGTGGATATTAACCCCCCCCCCCTCTCTCTCTCTGGGGTGATACATTGACATTAATTATTAATCACATTCACCCAAAAAATACCAATTTTTTTTACCAACTGTAATTTATATGAATATTTGCTGTTCTTTATACCAAATTTTCATTTTTAATTTAAAATAATAAAAAAAATAGGTCCACATTTATTTAACAGTTTTGGTGTCTAATACTAATAGCGCTAAATGGATAAGACGCTGGCTCGCTGGCCTGGAGGTCAGGTGTTCGAGCCCTGCATTGGCCGAGAAAGTTCATCCAGATTTTTCACGTAGTTACCCGTTGTCAGTGATGCAAGTTGGAGGGTCTGGCATGGACAGCTGTCTAGTCATTCAGATGGTACGAAAAACCGAGGGCCTGTGTACACATTGGCGTGCACGTAAAAGATCCCTTGACAGAATTCGATATAAGAGTAGGCCGCTGCCCGGGCAAAATTTACCTCATAGCACACTATATGGCATATGCCCGTCTTCATTAGCCCAGTTTAGAGCAGAACAGTAGAACGTTAAATTTCATTCCATTGTCTAATGGCCCCTCCAAATTTGATTTCCAAGTAATTTGTGATGTTCAACTTTTAACCAAATCCACTATTATTTCAACTTTATCACAATAATTTACATGTACATGTATATCAATGTTGGATATTATAAGCTTACTGTTTTTTATATGCCCACATTTCGGAAGTTTCTCACATTTTCATGTGACCGTACCGGTATATCATGTCGTCCACCTGACTTGCCTCCCCTGTCTGGACGCCAGTTCAGGGGGATCATGTGGGTAAGACGCTGGCTCGCTAGCCTGGAGGTCGGGTGTTTGATCCCTGCATTGGCCGAGAAAGTTCGTCCAGATTTTCCGGCGTGGTTTCCCCTTGTCATTGATGCAGGACGGAGGGCCTGACAAGGACAGCTGTCTAGTCATTCGGATGAGACGGAAAACCGAGGTCCTGTGTACACATTGATGTGCGCGTAGAAGATCCCTTGGCAGTTGCAATTCGATATAAGAGTAGGCCATAGCACACTGTATGGCGTATGTCCACCTTCATTAGCCCAGTTTAGGAGTAGGATGTTAAACCCCATTTTATTCATTCAGTTATTGGATGTCGGTCCACAATTTGTTTGTGGGCGCTCGACAGGTCACAATATTATCCGAAAATTTTCCAAAGATCTCGGTTCCTTGGGAAATTGACATGTGTCGGACCATTTA